GGCCCCCATTCACAAAACTGAAAGAGTGTCTTTTCTAAAAATCCTTTATTGTAAAATTGTAGTTTGTGACAAAATTGACAATAAATTTAAAGCATGAAAGACAAATATATTAAACTATAAGAATTTATATTTTAACAATTATGAAATAGCATATATTCACAAAAAAATGGCATTGATTGTGGTGCTAATGTTCAATCCTCAAAGGTCCCCTGAATCCATGTGCAAAAGTGTTGGAGGGAAAAACACTTAAGTCTTGTAGTATATTGTGTCAGAGGGGGCGTCCGTGGCCGAGTGGTTAAGGTCGTTGACTTCAAACCACTTGCCCCTCACCGCTGTGGGTTCAAATCCCTACATGGACTTTGGATTCTTTCATGTGAGGAAGCTATCCAGCTAGCTTACGGAACGTCAGTGGTTCTACTCAGGTGCCCGTTCGTGCCTGAAATAATGCACAGAAGGGCACCTGAGGTCTTCCTCCACCAGTAAAGCTGGAACGTCGCGATATGACCTATACTGTGTCGATGTGACGTAAAACCCAAAACAAAACAAACTAGAACTGTGTCCAAAGGACACGGATGCCCCCACTGACAATTTATATATGGTATATAGTGAAAAAATCAACAAAGGGCCATAATTCTGTTAAATTTGGTCACAGCAAAAATTCCTTCCTTTACTACCATCTACACATTAAGGTTGTTCATCCCTGGAAGTTTAAGCAAACTCTGCCATCCGGTTTAAGAGGAGTTGCGTTCACAAAATTTCTATATGGCATATAGTGAAAAAAATCAACAAAGGGCCATAATTCTGTTAAATTTGGTCGCAGCAAAAATTCCTTCCTTTACTACCATCTACACATTAAGGTTGATCATCCCTGGAAGTTTAAGCAAAATCTGCCATCCGGTTAAAGAGGAGTTGCGTTCACAAAATTTCTATATGGTATATAGTGAAAAAATCAACAAAGGGCCATAATTTAGTTAAATTTGGTGGCAGCAAAAATTCCTTCCTTTACTACCATCTACACATTAAGGTTGATCATCCCTGAAAGTTTAAGCAAAATCTGCCATCCGGTTTAAGAGGAGTTGCGTTCACAAAATTTCTATATGGTATATAGTGAAAAAATCAACAAAGGGCCATAATTCTGTTAAATTTGGTCGCAGCAAAAATTCCTTCCTTTAATACCATCTACACATTAAGGTTGATCATCCCTGGAAGTTTAAGCAAAATCTGCCATCCGGTTTAAGAGGAGTTGCGTTCACAAAATTTCTATATGGTCTATGGTGAAAAAATCAACAAAGGGCCATAATTCTGTTAAATTTGATCGCAGCAAAAATTCCTTCCTTTACTACCATCTACACATTAAGGTTGATCATCCCTGTAAGTTTAAGCAAAATCTGCCATCCGGTTTAAGAGGAGTTGCGTTCACAAGATTTCGGGACGTACGGACGGACGGACAGACGTACGGACGGACAAGTGCAACGCTATATGCTCCCACTCTGTGGGGGCATAACAAAAAAAAATATTGTGTCAGTGATTGTCCACTGATTTTGTTAAAGATCCTGTATGTTTTGTGATTGATATTGTTACTATGTGTATACCACAATTGCAAAAAAAATATATACCAATTAATTACATGCATTCATTTCTAATTGAAAAATTTGACTAAGAATTTATAGAAAATAAATTTCTTATTACCTCCCTTTATTTACATGAAATGTTAAATTTGGTAATATCTTTATAAATAATGCTTATTGGAACTTACAATATTGACAAATCTTAATTTAAGCATCATATTTATGAAATAAAACCATGAAAAAATTGTGTTACAGGATCTTTAACAAACATGATGGACCCTTTGAACGCATCTGAATTGTAATAAGATTTAAAACTATTTCTGAAAAAGTGGTCAATTGAAATACTATTTTGGTTTCCTAGTAAAAATTTGTCATTTCTTTGATATTCCTCCGCCTCTGTATCTTGCTTCCTTATATACATCAGAAACAAACATGTCAAAACTAGTGATAAATATGTTTCCGTACCTTAGTATTTTTCAACAAAATTAATTGTATCCATAATATTTTAAGATTGAAATCGCTCTTCCTTATTATTACATGGTTTTATCATCTCAGGTCCTTTTTTAACCATCAATCATGTTCAAGGTTGCTCTTTGTTGCTTTGTTGGATTACTTCCTACTACAAGGGTTGTCCAAAATAATTGTGCACTGCAGTTATTGTTGTGAGAGTTATTGATAAAAAACATGAATTATGTATCACTTGAAGAAGAAATCTGAAATCTGTCTCAAATAAGAAAACATAAGAAAAAACTTTGTAAGTGGTGTGTCGTGAAAAAGAATTGTCATTAAGTTACCAAAGTAACGTAATACCGGCCCACGACAAAAAAGTGGGATAGTGCATTACTGTGATTGTATTAATTTTTTGTCACTTTTAAAGCGGCATTTGCTTTTTATGACATAATTTGTTTTACTCTCAATAGAGGAATGATTGATGCGAAGTATTTTGTAGGTTTTTTTTGTTCTTATGCAACGTACATCTAACATATTCCACCAGTGCTTGAGTATATTGGACAACCCTTGTCACATGCGCCGGCATTATGGAAGAACATTTGCCTAACAAGTTGTCATCATCTACCTCCTCTCGACCCTCTACAGAGCATTTGTGCCATTCAAAAACCAGACTTCATGACACTGAACTTGTCAGCCTTGCCCTTTTAAATTCTTTGTAGGTACACTGTAGCCTCGATATATCACTCTTCGTTATAACGCTAATCTCAGTATAGCGCTCATAGACCTTGGCTCCCAAGAAAAATTTTTTTTCCAAAAAAATGAAAAAAAGATATTAAGTAGATCTAGATTTATATAACACTATAACACTTGTTCAATTTGTCAGTCAAGTACAATAAACAATTGTAATAGGACATTTATTATCGCCAAAGGTGTGAAAAACATGCCCAGGTAAGCGTTTATCCGCTCTTTTGTTTTTTTACCTATCCATCAGTCAGGCATCCAATTGTTTCCAAAATCTCAAATTCATATCATAACTGTGACATGGGCAACCGGTGGTGAGTATAAATAAACTAAAATTCACACACATATCTTTGACATGTAAACTTCGCTGAATTAAATAACCCACACAAGCCAAAAATCAATTTAAAATCCTGCACTGTAAATAGAGCGGCCAAGACAGGTAGTAATTGGCTCTTGATTAACTAGGGGACACAATTTAAGCTGGACTGTAAAATTTCAGTGTAATTTACAGTCTAGCTTTAGTTGTGTCCCCTAATTAATCAAATGTCATTACAGTAATGGCTAACTGTTTACACAACATTCATGATTTATGTTTTTCTTTCGAAAGTTTTTTGTTTCTTTTAAATATAATTAGTATTATTTGTGAATATAATACCGGTATGTGTTTACATTAGGGATGGCAACGAGTAACCGGTTAACCGAGTACTCGATCGAACGTCCGAATATCGGTTAACAAAATTGATATTCGATTACTCGGAAAAATATATGTTATTTCTACTTTTTGCGATTTTAAGAAAGATTAGTTCAGAAATTCGGAAATGTACACGTATCTGTTGAAATACTTGTTAAATGCAATCAAAACATCCTTGCAGAGGTGTGAAAATGATATGGTAAGTTTAACGAGGCGATCAGCAGTTTGACACGCGTATGGGATTGAACACAGTCCTGTGTTGTTTACGCCAGTCGGCCTCTTATGATATTTAATCACCTTAAAATATTAGACAGTTTGAAGCTGAAACTTGTTTATTATAAAAACGAAAATATATACAGAATATTATGTTGTAGCTTTCTTTTGCTACGAGCAGCGGTGAAAAAAAATGATATCCCGCGAGACCGAAATATCAATTTTCCAACATTGCGAGAAGAAAATTGCATAGGCTCAGAAAGCTACTACAACATAATTTTCCTTTTAATATATACCTTTTCGTTTGAATTATAAATGATTTTCATAATACTACACTTCTATAAGAAATTTCAGAAAATGAAATGTACCTGTCAAAAAATAAATTTATGACCGACGGATGAATACGTAATTTTTGCAAAACCAGCCACGCCTTTTATAATTTTGGTTTCCGTTTCCAAGTGCTACGTTTATACACAGCTAAGATCGGAACCAACGTCAAAAATAGTCCGGCACTTCCATATATGGCTTCGTATTTTCCACTAACATAATACGGAATTTTCTATCCGTTGAAGCGTATTTGCGCTTCAAGTTCATCCTGTATTTTAGGAAGAAAATTTGTATTCATATGTTTATTATATTTATATATGTATTTCTTGCATTCCTATCTATAGTTACGAATTCTATGAATTAAAATAGAAAACGAAAGTAGCATGCAGACGGTGTTGGTATTGTGTGGTAAAATTTTAAAGATCATTGGAAATCATCCGAGTAACCGAGTACTCGATCGGAAAAATGACCGAGTACTCGAGTATTGATTTTGGTATTCGTTGCCATCCCTAGTTTACATCATTGAATTGTTTAAGAAAAAGATAATGTCGATATTCATTTAACAGTAAGTAAAAAACGTCAGCGTTATATATAAATTATATGCGATGGGTGGGGTAATGTGGTAATGAGCGTTCTAATGAGAGCCTCGTAAAAACGCAGTGTTAAGACATTGGACCCCACCATGAGTGTTATAATGAGGCTGTAGTGTATAATTATGTGGGTGTTTTACCAAAACTTGCCCAAAATTTACTGATCGTCTGTATTTCCAGACGTTTAGCGACTGACATTTTCACGTAATTACAGTATTGACGACCACACAGAAATGTTTGTTTACAACCGTTATAATAGGGCAAATGACGTCATATTTTCTATTGATGTTAGGAATACATACACACACTTTTCCCTGAATTTTGACGTTTATATGCAGTGTTTAAAGAATACTGTGATGCATCAAAGTCATGAACTAACCCAATTTTTATGCCCCCACAATGTGGGAGCATATAGCGTTGCACTTGTCCGTCCGTCCGTCAATCCGCACTCACAGGAGAGTAATTATGTGGCTAGAGGGACAATAGGTTCTCTTTGATGTCATTCATTCCATAATGTTTTTATGTGGCTATTTTCTTTTGCGTGGCTAAAAGAACAATAGAGAGAACAATAGAGTAGCCACATAATTACTATCCTGTGAGAACGTCCGTCCGTCCGTCCGTACGTCCCGAAATCTTGTGAATGCAACTCCTCTTAAACCGGATGGCAGATTTTGCTTAAACTTACAGGGATGAACAACCTTAATGTGTAGATGGTAGTAAAGGTAGGAATTTTCGCTGCGACCAAATTTAACAGAATTATGGCCCTTTGTTGATTTTTTCATTAGATACTATGTAGAAATTTTGTGAACGCAACTCCTCTTAAACCGGATGGCAGAATTTGCTTAAACTTACAGGGATGAATAACCTTAATGTGTAGATGGTAGTAAAGGAAGGAATTTTTGCTGCAACCAAATTTAATAGAATTATGGCCCTTTGTTGATTTTTTCACTAGATACTATGTAGAAATTTTGTGAACGCAACTCCTCTTAAACCGGATGGCAGAATTTGCTTAAACTTACAGGGATGAATAACCTTAATGTGTAGATGGTAGTAAAGGAAGGAATTTTTGCTGCAACCAAATTTAATAGAATTATGGCCCTTTGTTGATTTTTTCACTATATACTATGTAAAAATTTTGTGAACGCAACTCCTCTTAAACCGGATGGCAGATTTTGCTTAAACTTACAGGAATGAACAACCTTAATGTGTAGATGGTAGTAAGGGAAGGAATTTTTGCTGCGACCAAATTTAACATAATTATGGCCCTTTTTTAGCTCACCTGTCACAAAGTGACAGGGTGAGCTTTTGTGATCGCTTTTCGTCCGGCGTCCGTCCGTCCGTCCGTCGTCCGTCCGTCGTCCGTAAACTTTTACTTTAAACGACATCTCCTCATAAACCGCTGAGCCAATTTCATTCAAACTTCACAGGAATGTTCCTTTGATGGTCACCTTTAAAAATTGTTCAAAGAATTTAATTCCATGCAGAACTCTGGTTGCCATGGCAACCAAAAGAAAAAACTTCAAAAATCTTCTTTTAAAAAACCAAAGAAGCTACAGCTTAGATATTTGGCATGAACCATCTTCTAGTGAGTGTCTACCAAGTTTGTTGAAATAAAAGCCCTGGGGTCAAAATTGGCCCCGCCCCAGGGGGGGTCATTGTTTTTCCATATATGTATATAGTAAAAACTTTAAAATCTTCTTTTAAAGAACCCAAAGAGCTAGAGCTAAGATATTTTGCATGAACCATCTTCTAGTGAGTGTTTACCAAGTTTGTTGAAATAAAAGCCCTGGGGTCAAAATTGACCTTGCCCCAGGGGGGGGGGGGGTCATTGTTTTTCCATATATGTATATAGTAAAAACTTAAAAATCTTCTTATAAAGAACCAAAATAGCTAGAGCTGTGATATTTGGCATGAAACATCTTCTAGTGAGTGTCTACCAAGTTTATTCAAATAAAAGCCCTGGAGTCAAAATTGGCCCCGCCCCAGGGGGGTCATTGTTTTTCCATATATGTATATAGTAAAAACTTAAAAATCTTCTTTTAAAAAACCCAAAGAGCTAGAGCTACGATATTTAGCATGAAACATGTTCTAATGGATGTCTACCAAGTTTGTTTAAATAAATGTCCTAGGTTTAAAATTGGCCCTGCCCCAGGGGGGTCATTGTTTTTCCATGTATGTATAAAGTAAAAATTTTAAAAATCTTCTTTTAAAAAAATAAAGAGCTAGAGCTTAGATATTTAGCATGAAACATCTTCTAATGGGTGTCTACCAAGTTTGTGTAAATTAATGTCCTAGGGTTAAAGTTTGCCCCGCCGAGGGGCGGGGGGTCATTGATTTCCCTACATGTATGTAGTAAACTCTGTTATTCACCAAAATGAAATGATTTTATTTGATCTTGTTTGTTTTTATATTTGCATAGCGATACAGAACAGTACAGTGATATTGAACGGCATATTTATTAGTGCATATTCCATTAAACTAAATGAAAAGAGACCAACCTTACCAAAAAATGTGCCATTGATGAAATTCTATTTGATAATTATAAATTTCATTTTTATAATCATAAATTTATTCTTACATTATTTGTTTATATTTACTCCTTTCATGCTTAGTTGATCAGATTTGATCCTAAATTATTTCATCAGTGAGTTAAGAGGGTCTCTTACATACTGGAATGTTACCACCTGGCTGACCATGCTTGTGCTTATTTTATCTTTGTTATACAATTTCCTTCTGATTTAAGTAAAAATGTAAAGTAAAATAAATATTTATTACTTTTGCTCCTGTTTTTAGAAAAAAGAGTTTTACATACATGTATGAAGGTGCATTTAAAGGAACAATTGTGATAGATATTATTTAAATAAAGTTTATAAATTGTATATCTTAAACAAGTATCTTGTGTGTCTTCTGTGCCAGGTGGGTATAATATATTATATTTTTCATAGTATCGTCCCATTGGACACAAACATTTATAGAAGAGACTATTTGAAAGATAGCTACAGATAAACAATATTTATTGTGAAATAACATTGTGATATTTAACAGAGACAGCATATTTGTGATTCTGGATTGTGCTTGTGACGTGTAATACATTGTTAACTTAATAGTGCCTGTGACACTTAATAGTGCTTGTGACACTTAATACTTTGTGACATCAAGTTGTGACACTTCAGTGTTTCTGAAACTTTAAAGTGCTTCTGCCACAGCGTTGTTTGAGAACTGCTCCAGTGATAGCCTTCCAGCATAAGAAAGGTATGTCTTGGCATAAATTAATTGTGGTAATCAGTAGCAATGAGTTTCAAGACTGACTTTGCTTGTTATAAAGAAGAAAGTCAAGATGAAGTAGTTTTAGTATTTTATTGATCCTGTTCATTCCAATTTAAATATCATCAACTTAATCAGTATAAGCCAATGTGAATTAAAGCAACTTACATCCAGATTTAATGAAATGCAATATCTTTGTTAACTCATAAACATAAAAATATGTCTTTTGTGCCTGATTTTTTTTTTCATCCAAAAAAAAAAAATTCATGATTTAAACATGTTTTTTTTTGTTGTAAAATATGTTTCAAAGATCTGTATACTATCTCTTGCTTATTTATCGTTTCAGTTAGACATGCCACTTAGTAAAGCATGGAAGAAGGCAAAGGCCAGGAGGGCAGTATTGGTGAATAGGGAGCAGATGTTGGCAGAAGATCCGGATGTAGTCCCTGTCATAAGTCCGGTCATCGTGCCGGCAGACAGGGCCCCATCAGCACCTGTCATAGGTCCGGTCATCGTGCCGGCAGACATGGTCGCTGGGGCAACTGATGTAGGTCCGTTCAATGTGACGGCATTCAGAGCCCAAAAAGCACCTGATGTAGGTCTGGTCAACGCACCAGCATTCAGGGCGCTTGAAAGTCCGTTCATCTGTACGGCAAACGAAAGTCCGTTCATCAGTACGGCAAACACAAACAAAACAAATGCTATATATTCCGAAATGGAACAAATATTATCTCAGAATTCAAATTTGAATCAAAGAGTATGCAATACATCTTCTGCAATGCAAAAAGATCAAGGAAAAATTGTGGGTCAGTCCTGTGAGACCTATTGCACTGGTATGCCCTTCAGTTGCTTGTCCTTAGTATTTGGTTCTTTCAGTCAAGCAAATAATAGATTTTCTATTCAAACTAGAGGTAGTCAATGCACTATTAACTCATTATGTGCTTTAATATATTCAAAATATTCTGATTTGATAACAACAGAAAATATTGATGAGGTACTAAACATTGGAGATATGCTGTACAGGGATGTTGTTAATAATTTAAAACAACTTGGTAAATTTAAGCACCGATTGTTAAGTCTTGACGAAATGCCTGATCAAGTAAATGTTTTGTCCAAAGTGGTAGAAATAAGAAAAGGAAACATTGTATCAGGAATGACAATTCAGCATTTTGGAGATACAGACTTGCCAACTTTACATCAAGCCTTGCATGAAGCATTTCAGAGTGCACACCACGCATTGGTCATGATAGGATCAATTTGTTCTGCTGTGTTTCTTAAAGATGAAGAGTTTTGGCTGTTTGATTCACATTCACATGGAGAATATGGACTGTCAAATGTTGATGGAAAGTCTGTTTTGATGTCCTTTGATAAACTTGAAGACCTTGTGACATTTATGTATGCTATGTATGAAAGTGCAAATATTGATATAATGAGTCAATATGAAATATTGCCTTTGAATTTTAGTGTAGTTAAATGCAATTCACAATATCATAATATGTACATTAAAGATCAGCAGAAAATATCTGATAACAGTAAAACTGAAGCTGATGATCTTTGGCAAACAGTTTCTTACAAAAAGCAAAAGAAATTCAGTAACATTTCTGTCATGCCAAGTAATGAACAATCATGTGAAGTAGTAAAAAAAAGCATTAAGCAACAGTCTGTTTACCATAAAGTAAAAGAAAATACATATAGTTATCCTGCAGTTGGGCTTAAGACAAAAATGAAAAATGATACAATACTTATTGGGAAGTACTTTAAACACCAATACCAAAAACAGCAACAGAAGGATAAAAAAGGAGAAAGTGATAGAAAAGCCTACATGAGACTGTACATGCAAAAGCGAAGGCAAAGTGATCAATTCAAAGTAAAAGATAAAGAATTCACATTAAGGTCAAAACGAAAGGCAAGATTAGATCCACTTAAACTAGAACAAGAGAAAATAGCAAAACAAGAATGTCGAAAATGTCCTGAATTCAAAAATAAAGAAGTTAAGATACAAAATAAATCGAAACGAAAGGCAAGGTCAGACGAAGAATTCAAGCATAAAGAAATAGAGATACAGAATAAGTCCAAAAAAAAGGCGAGGTTTGATCCACTTATACTAGAGCAAGAGAAAAAAGCAAAACAAGAATCTCGAAAATGTCCTGAATTCAAGCATAAAGAAATTGAGATACAAAATAAATCAAAACGAAAGGCAAGGTTAGACGAAGAATTCAAGCATAAAGAAATTGAGATACAAAATAAATCAAAACGAAAGGCAAGGTCAGACGAAGAATTCAAGCATAAAGAAATTGAGATACAAAATAAATCAAAACGAAAGGCAAGGTCAGACGAAGAATTCAAGCATAAAGAAATTGAGATACAAAATAAATCAAAACGAAAGGCAAGGTCAGACGAAGAATTCAAGCATAAAGAAATTGAGATACAAAATAAATCAAAACGAAAGGCAAGGTCAAACGAAGAATTCAAGCATAAAGAAATTGAGATACAAAATAAATCAAAACAAAAGGCCCGATCGAATGAAGCATTCAAACAAAAAGAAACTGATGTACAGAATAAATCAAAACGAAAGGCAAGGTTAAATCCATACATATTAGAAAAAGAAAGAGTTGCTAAGCAACAGCGGAGATTAGATGAAAGAAACAAAAGCAAAGAAAAAATACTAGATTGTAAAAGAAAATCTGAAAAACGTAAAAATCCATTATTTTTAGAAGCAGAAAAGATAACTGCAAAACGAAACAAAAGTGGTAATGATATTGAAGTGTGTATTGCGAAGTTCCATCAAAACATACAAGAAGGTCCCATCTATGTTTGTAGTTCATGCCACCAGACATGGTTTAAGGAATCTGTATCAGATGTTCTTACTTTGACTTCTAAAGACAAAAATAAGTACTTAACTGGTCTAAAGTCAGTAGATGATAAAGAATGGATATGTGCTACATGTAAGCATAATATTAAAAAAGGGAGATTACCTGCATTGTCAGTTTTAAATGGAATGGAGTGGCCAACAAAACCAAAAGAATTGGATCTGTTTCCTCTGGAAGAACGTTTAATAGCCTTGCGCATTCCATTTATGCAAATTAGAGAACTACCAAGGGGGCGTCAGTTATCTATAAAAGGGAATGTTGTTAATGTTCCAGTTGATATCCAACCAGTTGTTAACACTCTACCAAGACCCATGAATGAAAACATTACTGTAGCTGTGAAATTAAAGAAAAAGATGTCTTTTCAGTCTTGTGCATTTTCTGAAAATGTTCGGCCACTTCGAGTACTTGTTGCTTTACATTGGTTGATGAACAAAAGCAATCTTTATAAAAATGCAAATATTAACATTGATGAGCAGTGGATTAAGGATGTAACAGAAAACTGTAATGAAGTCATAAATGAATTTTTTGAGTCAAAAGTAACATCTGAAATTGTGCCGGAGTGTGACACTGATGATAATAGAGATGCATATAATGATTCTCATTGTTCCAGTGATAATGTGTCCAAAACATTGCACAAATATTTTGAGGAAAATATTAAGCTATATAAAACACTGGGCACTGTTGACTTTGAAGACTGTGTTAGTGAAGTTATTGACTGTGCAAAAATAAAAAATACCGAAAATAAAATTTTGCATTCAGTAGTAGAAGATTTATATGACTCTGATGCTGAAGAAGTTTTAAATGAAAATGTTGGAAATATTGACACTCTTTTAGATGATGCAGATATTGAAAACAGACATGCTACTTTTACATTTGCACCTGGTGAGGGTCAGCAACCACTTAGTATTTTCCAAGATAAAGATTCAGAGTATCTGTGTTTTCCTAGCATATTTTGCGGTCAAAGGCGTATTGATAATGAACAAAGAAAAGTACCAGTTCATTATGGTGACATTGCCAAGTGGGAACTTCGAAGTCAAGATAGACGTGCAGCAAACAGTGTGCCTAACATATTTTTTAAATTAAAAAAAATACAGATGAAACAATTAAATGACAAGTCAAATTTAGCTGTTAGAAGAATTCAGACTGGTACAAACAAATTAACTGCTGCCCAGGCAAGAAATGGTGAATGCATGGATACAATTGTAAAAAATGATCAAGGTTACTATTTGTTCAAACAGCTGAGAAACAGTCCAGCTTACTTAGAATCCAGAAAGAAAGATGTTTATGCAATGCTAAGACAGTTAGGTATACCAACTTGGTTTATGTCCTTGTCTTCTGCTGATACCAGATGGACAGATCTTCTTAAAATCCTTGCAAATCTAAATGAAAAAGATAAGTACAGTGATGAACAAATAGAAAACCTCACTTGGGAACAAAAAATAAAATTGATTCAGTCAGATCCAGTTACTTGTTCTAGGTTTTTTGACCATAGAGTTCAGAATTTTATAAATACTGTTCTTAAAAGTGATCATAAACCATTAGGTAAAGTGACAGATTATTTTTATAGAGTTGAATTCCAACAACGTGGATCTCCACATATTCATATGATTGTGTGGGTAGAAAATGCTCCAAAATTAAATGTAGACTCAATTGAAGAGATAGCAGCATATGTGGACCAGTACTTAAAATGTTCAGTTAACAATGAATTTGTAGGGGCCTTGGTAGACATCCAAATCCATAAACATTCAAGAACGTGTAGAAAAAAACAAGATCGTATATGCCGTTTTGGTTATCCATTACCACCTCTGCAAAAAACAATGGTGTTATTTCCACTTGAAAATGACAAGGAGAAATATCTCAAACAATATGAAAAAATTCAGAAAAAAATGAATGATGAGAAACATGGATATAATATGTCTTTTGAGAATTTTTTGTCAGATATTGTACAGATGAATGAGGATGATTACATTAAATGCATTAGAAGTTCATTAAATTCTCCCAAGGTGTTTTTGAAAAGAAATCCAAATGAGATACGTGTAAATTTATACAATGATGTAGTATTGAAAGCATGGAAAGCAAACACTGACATACAATTTGTTTTGGATCCATATGCTTGTGCCATGTATATTGTTTCATATATAAGTAAATCACAACGTGGTATGAGTAATCTTATGTATGCTGCTGCAAAGGAAGCAAGAAATGGCAACCTAGATATAAAAAGGCAAGTAAGACACATTGGCAATGTGTTTTCGAACAGTGTTGAAGTGAGTGCACAGGAAGCTGTCTATCTAGTTTTGCAAATGCCCTTGACCAGAAGTACAAGAGATGTTGTATTCATAAACACTTCTGTACCAAACCAAAGAGTACAATTGTTAAAACCCAAGTCTGATCTTGATGAGTTGCCTGCAGACTCAACTGATATCATGTCAGATAATGTGATAAAAAGATATTCAAAACGTCCAAAGGCTCTAGATAAATATTGCTTAGCTGATTATGTGTCACAATTAGAAGTGGTTTACCCAGATGATAAAAAAGATATAGGTTATTCAGAACAAAATGATGATGAAAATATTGCTGGAATGTCAGATGATGAATATTTTGATGATTGCCAAAACATTTGTATACTGAAAAGTGGTATAAAAATCAGAAGACGCCGTAATTCAAAAATCATAAGGTATGTAAGATTTAATAAAAAAACAGATGAAGAAAACTATTATAGAGAAAAACTACTTCTTTTTTATCCATGGAGAAATGAAGAAAAAGATTTACTTGGACATTTTGCAACATACAAAGAACAGTATGAATCGGTCCAAAATGCTGTAAATGAAAAATGTGCATGTTATGAACATCATATTGATGAGTTAGAATTAGCAAGAAATATGGCTGAAGCAGAATATAATGCATATGATGAAATCGCTCCTGGAACTCAGGAAGAAGAAGCAGAAACTGCTGAAGAAGAACCAGTAGAGTCAGAAACATTTATATATTTCAATCCTGATAGAGTTACTGAACAAAGAGAATATGATATTGGCATAGAAATTGGATGTTCCATTTCATCTGCACAAATCAGTTCTAATGAAAATATTTTACCAGATGAAGAGTACAGAGCTCTTCTGCGTTCGTTGAACTCAAAACAGAAAGAGTTTTACAATCATGTTGTTCACTGGATAAAAACAAAAGATGCACCTTTATATACATTTCTTTCTGGTGGTGCTGGTGTTGGTAAAAGTGTTGTTATAAGAGCATTGTATCAAACACTATATAGAATGCTTAATTTGAAAGAAGGAGAAAATACTGATGATATAAGGGTACTCTTGTGTGCATATACTGGAAAAGCAGCTTTCAATATAAACGGCTCTACTATTTCGTCCGCATTTAAACAGAAATACAAACAGTCTGACCAAACATTAACATGTGACAGCTTAAATACATTCAGATCCAAATATCGAGATTTATCTGTTGTCATAATTGATGAAATTTCAATGGTTAGTAATACTATGATGAGTTTCATAAATCAGAGACTTCAAGAATTAAAAGGTACTCGCAAACCATTTGGAGGTGTAAGCATTATCGCAGTGGGAGATTTATTCCAATTAAAACCTATAAATGGTGGTTGGATATTTAATGATTTAAGTCGTGATGCTGCATCTTTGTCCATGAACTTATGGAAAGAACTGTTTGTTATGTATGAGTTGTCAGAAGTAATGAGACAAAAGGATGATTTACCATTTGCAGACTTATTAAACAGGCTGAGAATTAACTCACTGACAACAGAAGATAAAATGGTCCTTAAAGGTTGTGAAGTTGAATCCAGTGCTAAGAATTATCAAGTTAACTCCCCACATCTATTTGCTGAAAATTATTACATGCATATTTTCAATGACACACTTCTAAACAGTTCAAACAATCAAAAAGTGTCCATTCTTTGTCATGATTCTGTTGTTTCACCAAAATTGTCAAAGGATAAACAAGAAGAGGCTATCAAAAGATTGCCCACAGATCCAAACAGAACTGCTAATCTTCATTGTTCATTGGATATTGTTGTAGGAATGTTGTATGATTTAACAGTCAATACAAATACTGAAGATGGACTTGCAAATGGTGCATCATGTGTTGTAAAGTTCATAGAGTATAAACTGAAGGAAACACAACGTCCTAGTATCATATGGGTACAATTTGTGGATTTGAAAGCTGGTTGTGGAACTAGATTAAAATATAAAAATCGAGGCTTTTATCACACACAAATAAATGAAAATTGGACACCAACATTTGATATCACAAGGACCTTCACATATAACAAAAAAACTTTTGAAAGAATCCAGTTTCCATTACAACCTTCTGCTGGGAGATCAGTTCATAGAGCACAAGGAACAACACTTGATAGTGTTGTGATTGACCTATCCCAAAGAAAAACACGAAAAGTTCCTCACCTTCATTATGTTGCATTAAGTAGAGTAAGGTCTTTAGAAAAGCTTCAAATTCTCAATTTTAATGAACAGGCTTTACAAGTTGATGAACAAGTTAAAACAGAAATGGAGAGATTGCTTAAAGATGCTTCTCTAGAATTGTGTTATGTCCCCTTGGAATCTATACATGTATTTTCAAATATGGATTTTAAAATTGCATTCAACAATTGTAGGTCATTAAACAAGCATTTCATTGATGTGAAACATGACCAGGGATTGTTGTCTTGTGATATTATTGGATTGGCAGAAACTAGATTACATGAAAATGATAATGATTCTTCCTATCAGATACAGGGATACCATTTAATACGCAATGACCAGTGTACTACATCAACATCTGAAAGACCTCCGCATGGGTTACTTATTTATGTCAAAGATGATGTATTAATAAAATCTGCAGACAGCTTTAGCTCCAAGAATTTTGAATTTGTTCTTCTGAATGTTGCAAGAGAATTAAGTGAAATGCAAGTTGTGGTATTGTATAAATCACCAAAAATGTCTGATTCTGCTTTTCGCACTGTGCTGACAGAAAAACTCATTCCACATTTGGTACCTCAAAAGCCTTTGGTTATTCTAGGTGACTTTAATATTGATGTTTTAAAGTATCATAGGGGTGTTTTGCAGTATTTGTATGATAAGCTTAACTGTAGATTACGTCTTAATGAACCTACAACTGATAATCTATCAGCATTAGACTTGATAATAACAAATATTGATGCCACTGTGGGTACAGTAGAAACTTACTGGTCAGATCACAAGATTATCTACTGCCGTACTGAAAGAATCTCTACACAATAAAATCTGTTGCGAGCCTTACTTACCAGTTCTTCTTAAAAAATTTACCACTGGTGCGAGCCCAGAAAACAGCCATTGCATCACTTACCAGTTCTTCTTAAAAAATTTACCCTCTTAAAACTTAAAGATATGTAACGTTATAGTTTAAATTTTAACCTTCACCTTATAACCTACTTCCTGTCAGAAGATGTATTCAGGGCCATCATGACCCTCTTGTTTAATTTTGATTTGCCACATGAACTCACATAACCATTTGTCAACATATTATGACAACAAGAACTAGTGCAGATTTCAAACTAATAGGTCAAATAGGTTCAGAAACTAAGTCACCTGATCAGAGCTTTGGGAAACCTTTTTAAAACTGAGATCACCTTTTACCCACTTCAATTGAATGTAGAATGTCAAAAAGCTAGAGTTTAGATATTAAGCACGAAGCATCTTCTAGTGAGTGTCTACAAAGTTTGTTCAAATAAAAGCCTTGGGGTCAAAATTGGCCCAGCCCTGGTGACATTGATTTTCCTTATATGTGTATAGCAAAAACTTAAAAATCTTCTTTGAAAAAACCCGAATAGCTAGAGTTTAGCTATTAAGCATGAAACATTTTCTAGCAAGTGTCTACAAAGATTGTTCAAATAAAAGCCCTTTGGTGAAAACTGGCCCTGCCCCAGGTGTGTCATTGTTTTTAACTATATGTGTAAAGAAAAAACTTGACCAGCTAGACCTTAGATGTTTAGCATGAAACATCTTCTAATGGGTGTCTACCAAGTTTGTTCAAATAAAAGCCCTGGGGTTTAAACTGGCCCCGCTCCGGGGGCCTTTATACAGGTGAGCGACTTCAGGGCCATCATGGCCCTCTTGTTATTTTTATGCCCCCACAATGTGGGTGCATATAGCGTTGCACTTGTCCGTCCGTCCGTCAGTCCGTCTGTCCGTCCGTCAGTCCGTCCGTACGTCCCGAAATCTTGTGAACGCAACTCCTCTTAAACCGTATGGCAGATTTTGCTTAAACTTACAGGGATGAACAACCTTAATGTGTAGATGGTAGTAAAGGAAGGAATTTTCGCTGCGACTAAATTTAACAGAATTATGGCCCTTTGTTGATTTTTTCACTAGATACTATGTAGAAATTTTGTGAACGCAACTCCTCTTAAACCGGATGGCAGATTTTGCTTAAACTTACAGGAATGAACAACCTTAATGTGTAGATGGTAGTAAAGGAAGGAATTTTTGCTGCAACCAAATTTAACAGAATTATGGCCCTTTGTTGATTTTTTCACTATATACTATGTAGAAATTTTGTGAACGCAACTCCTCTTAAACCAGATGGCAGATTTTGCTTAAACTTACAGGGATGAACAACCTTAAGGTGTAGATGGTAGTTAAGGAAGGAATTTTCGCTGCGACCAAATTTAACAGAATTATGGCCCTTTGTTAATTTTTTCACTATATACTATGTAGAAATTTTGTGAATGCAACTCCTCTTAAACCGGATGGCAGATTTTGCTTAAACTTCCAGGGATGAACAACCTTAATGTGTAGATGGCAGTAAAGGAAGGAATTTTTGCTGCAACCAAATTTAACAGAATTATGGCCCTTTGTTGATTTTTTCATTATATACTATGTAGAAATTTTGTGAACGCAACTCCTCTTAAACCGGATGGCAGATTTTGCTTAAACTTCCAGGGATTAACAACCTTAATGTGTAGATGGTAGTAAAGGAAGGAATTTTTGCTGCGACCAAATTTAACAGAATTATGGCCCTTTGTTGATTTTTAGTTTTCAACTTGTGGCACATGTAGTCCAAAAAATATTTGACCTAGAGTCATAAGATTGACAGAACAGTGGCGTGTGGGGGCATCCGTGTCCTATGGACACATTTCTAGTTTTTATTATATACTATGTTGAAATTTTGTGAACGCAACTCCTCTTAAACCGGATGGCAGATTTTGCTTAAACTTCCAGGGATTAACAACCTTAATGTGTAGATGGTAGTAAAGGAAGGAATTTTTGCTGCGACCAAATTTAACAGAATTATGGCCCTTTGTTGATTTTTAGTTTTCAACTTGTGGCACATGTAGTCCAAAAAATATTTGACCTAGAGTCATAAGATTGACAGAACAGTGGCGTGTGGGGGCATCCGTGTCCTATGGACACATTTCTAGTTTGTCATGCGCCGGTATTACGTTACCAAGGTAACTGTATGATGATTCGTTTTCAAGACACTCCAGTTACACGGCTTTTTCTTTTGTTTTCTTATTTGAGACAGATTTCCCCTTCAAGTGATATAATTCATGTTCTTCTATCAATAACTCTCACAACAATAACTGCAGTGCACAAATTTTTTGGACAACCCTTGTAGTAGGAAGTAATCCAACAAAGGAGTTTTGTGTGGTTGTCATTTATACCCATAAATCACTGCAAGTTAAATATAATTTATCATCGTATAACCTTCGAGTAACTGATTTATCCAATATGCTGGTTAATCAAATTAGTGTAAAATTTCCACAAGACATAAACAATAATATATTGAATCTATTAATTAAAAAGTACGGATACAAAACAATTTTAATAATCTATATCTTTCAAGTTATTTTTACAAGTTAATTTCCTCATTTAGGCTAAAGAGATTGAAACAATTAAATAAAATAATTGTTAAAATAATCGAAACTAAAGTCACACAATAACTTAGAATTTTGCACGATTGTGGAATAAGACTTCCTTTAAAAATGGAAAAAAAGTGTCAAACATTCAGTCTGATAAGCCATGGTATTTTGTCAGGCGGACAAAATATTGTCAGACCAACACATAATTAACAAAATCAAGTTTTTAAGCAACATGAGGGGATTTAAATTTGCCTTTTTCCGTGCCTCCACACATGTAGTTTTAAAAGTGAGCTAGAGTCAACAGACTTTACGGAATGTTGATAAACATGTGAAGCTGTGCACCTGAGGTTAGACATGTGGATTCATTCAGTTTTGTTGAGTTACTGCCCTTGACTTAGTAAAAATTTGCAATTTTTCAATTTTTGTGGTGTGTAGCTCAAATAGTATTTGACCTAGAGTGATGAAACTTTACAGGAATGTTGGTCAGCTAGTAAAGTTATGCACCAGTGGTTTCAGTTGTGGATTTATTCAGTATTTTTTATTGCCCTTGTCAGACTTAGTAAAAACTTACGATTTCCAACTTGTGTAGCTCAGTATTTTACCTGAATCATGCAACTTAATAGGAATGTTGGTCTTTGTTCATTTTTACTCTTTGAACTTTGTCCGGGACATAGCTCTAAAACTATAAGAGATATCAATGTAAAACTTTATAGGTAGATAGATCTCATTGGGTAGATAAGAACCGTAAGTCTGCCTTGCCTAATTTTGGAGTTAATTCCCTTTGGTCATTTATATTATGCCCGAAAGAATTTAGGGCATATTATGTTACGACTTCTGGCGTCTGTCCGTCCATCCATCAGTTAGCATTTTGGTTTCCACAGTTCCATTTGACCCACAATATTCAAACATCATAGGATGATTGTCCATATTGGGTAGAAGACCCCTATTGATTTTGGTTTCACAAGGTCAAAGGTCAAGGTCACTATATAACCTTAAGACTGAAAACGGTTTTCGCTCAATAACTTAAGTATTGATCAACCTACAGCTGTAAAATTTTATAGGATGAGCAGCCATGTCCAATGCATGACCCCTATCGATTTTAGGGTTATAAGATCAAAGGTCAGGGTCACAATGACCTTAACACTGAATATTGTGCTTTCTTGAGCATAACACAAGTTCCATTTGCCTTTTTGGCCCAAAGTGTTCAAACTTCATAGGATGATTGCCTATATTGATTCTATATTGGGGTCATAAGGTCAAAAGTCAATATCAAATGACCTTAATATTGATAACAGTTTTACAACTGTCAAACTTCATAAGATGATCACTTTTATTGAGTATATTGATTATATGCCTATATTATGTTATACCTCTGGCGTCTTTCCCTCCATCTGTTGTAGCATTTTTAGCTCGACTTTTCTATGAAAAGGGGAGCTATCCTACTCGCCCCGGCGTCGGCGTCGGCGTTGGCGTCACACCTTGGTTAAGTTTTTCGTACCACCCCACTTTATTTCAGAAGTAATTACAAGTATGGCTTTGAAACTTACCATACTTGTTCACCATCATAACCTCCATCTACAGACAAGAGTACATAACTCTGTCAAGGTTTTTTGACAGAATTATGGCCCTTTTTTGACTTAGAAAGTGTATTGAGCTTGGTTAAGTTTTTTTTGTACCACCTCACTTTATTTCAAAACCATTGGAGGTATTGCTTTGAAACTGACCATACTTGTTTACCATCACGACCTTCATCAACAGACAAGAGGACATAACTCTGTCAAGGTTTTTGACAGAATTATGCCCCTTTTTGACTTAGAAAATACATTGAATATGGGTAAAATCCACTTATTGCCTTAACCCTTTGAGATATTGCTTTGAAACTTTTAATGCTATTTCACATCATTACCCCCATCTGTACGCAAGAGAAGGTAACTCTGTCAAGGATTTGTTTTAAAAATTAAGGCCTTTTATCGACTTAGAATCTTGGTTAAGTTTTTAGTACCAGTCCACTTTTTGACTGAACTGTTTGAGATATTAATTTGAAAGTTGGAATACTTGTTTACAATCATGATTCCCAAACATGTCCAGGAGAAGGTAATTCTGTCAGAGATTCTTGTATTGCCTTTTACTGCAAAAACTTTTTTTATTGGCAAGCAATAAAAAAGTCGAGCGCGCTGTCTTACGGACAGCTCTTGTTACTTACAAGATAACAACTTGATGGTGGTGCTTTAGAAACAGGAACTGTATATATATGAAGGTTCTTCAGCTTATAATAAAGGAGGATTTAATTCCCATGTCGTACAAATGCTTCAATTCCTTACTAAAAAAAACAAACAAAAACACTTTTGGGGCATATAATGCTCCGCCTAGTGGTGCTCTTGTTACACTTGAACTTTGTGTGGGGCATAACTCTAAAACTATAATGAATTATAATAGAGGTGCAACGATACCTTTCGATGCATTGAAAACCGGTTTTATGAGCGCCGGTTTGATTCCCGATACCAACTGTAACATTTTCGATTTGTTTCCCCACCCAAAAGTAAACATGGAAAAAAGTGAGAGTTTTAGTCTTTCCCTTTGCGCTTTATCACGTTACATACGATTGGCCAGTTAAAACTCGGTCATCCAATCATTGGGTGCGTAATGTTTTATTTTCGACAAGTCAAAATGGCTACCAAAATCAATGTTGATAAAATAAAATAAAAAAATTCTCCTAAAAAATTAAAATCAAAGGTTTGGGAACACTTTGGGTTTCGGGAAGGCCAGGACACGGATAAAGCTACTTGCAAAATATGCTTTACCAACGTGTCATATCCAAAGTCCGGCAGTACGTCTAATTTAATGCAACATATGAAACGAAAACACGATGTGGACTTGTTTGGTGTTGCCTAATATAGTTTCACACAATTATGACAGTTGGTTGCTTAAAAGTGTTACAAGTTCGAATCAAACTTTATGTGACATTTTAGTGTTACTATCTGAGAGTCTGAGAACAGTCATCATCAATTCATAATTTTAAGAACATTTTAATTTTTTGTATGTTGAGTACTACAGTAAGTAGGCATATTTGACATTGGGATTTATTAATAATGTCAAGTGTGAAAACAAAATTCATTTTTTCTGTATTGTTTACTAGACTAAGTATTGTGTGGCAACACTGACATTAGGATTGATTATTCATTTTACATATGGGAATTATAAACAAAATATCTGAATATCAGTTCTGACATTGTGACCTTGTGAAACTTTGTTCATTATTA